TACTAGGGGAAAGTGTGAACTAACTCGGAATTGTGGAACTGAAGACCTGAAAGGCGCACGAAACGAGTAAGATGTGGTTTATCGACAAGTGCGAAGGGTGTTGACAAGTGCGAACTAACTCGCAGTTCTGCTGATAGGACAACAATTGCAACCCAAAGTACATGGGGAAAGTACGAACTAACTCGGAATTGTGGAACTGAAGACCTGAAAGCTGCACTGGATGGGTTATCAACTCCTCCAGCAGTGTTGCTCAAAAAGTGCGAACTGACTCGCATTTGTGGAAATAAAGAACTGCCTTTAATGAAATATGTGTCTAACCTTCGGAAAGCTGCGAATTAACTCGCAGTTGTCACTCCTCAAACAATGCACGTCACAAACTGGTAGCTAACTCGCAATATATCTCTCTATATATATATCTATATCTTACAAGGGACAAGTGAGCGAAAATCGGGAATTGATTCGATGTTCAGTGTAGTAATATATCTCTCTTTATATATATGTATTTATATCTATATATATATATATCGTCACAAACAGAACTGCCCGGTAAACCGTAGGGAGAGAGAGAGAAGAGGACAACAAACGAGGGGTTGTGGCAAACTGTTTCGTCGGAGTTTCACCGACTCATCAGGAGGCTGAACCCTCAAAAGTCTGCAGAATCCCCTCACTGATTACACTGTAAATGATAATCTACCTTAACCAAAATCAAAGTAGATTATCACTCACCCACACCAGATGGAAAACTCTACAGACTGTCGGTTCACACCCCATCACAAGCCAGCAAAACATCCACGAANCAGACTGTCGGTTCACACCCCATCACAAGCCAGCAAAACATCCACGAAACAAAGAAAGGTCTGTCACAGCGAAAAAATACACTCCAGACACGCCGTTGGCACTAGAGGCACAGCATGGCCGCCTAGTAACGGCCCCGACCACTGTCGCTCGACCTGACCGGAAAAAACCGTAGCAGGAAGCTAGCGAAATCGTAGTATATATCGTCACAAACAGAACTGCCCGGTAAACCGTAGGCAGAGAGAGAGAAGAGGACAACAAACGAGGGGCTGTGGCAAACTGTTTCGTCGGAGTTTCACCGACTCATCAGGATACAGATATCAGATCGGCGACCTCACAAGGGACAGGTGAGCGAAAATCGGGAATGGATTCGGTGTTCAGTGTAGAAACTAGGTATTGATTTGGGGTTCGCCATGTGCAGTGACGACTACAAGTTGCGAAGGGGATCGAGCAGCTTTATACAAACGTTATCGTGGCTATGGCGAAAGGTAATCGAGCTGCGGAACGTGGATCGACTATGGCGGGCGGAGGTGGAGGGTGGAGAAAAGACATCAGAACAGGTCCACTGGCGAAACAACAAAACCGGGAATTGATTCGGGGTTCAACAGAACGCGGCTGCGGCATTATATCCTACAGGTAGAGACAGGGCATCCGGGAATCTGTTCGCACATCGGACACAAAATAAGACAACTGAAGTTATATAATTTTACCTTCGTCGTGCGGATATGGATGTGCGACCATCGAACCAGCTATGGTGGAGGGATATCGAGCTAGGAAGAGCGAAGAGCGAAGAGCGAAGAGCGAAGAGCGAACCAAACACAATGTGGCTACTGCGGACGGAGCGAAGAGCGAAGAGTGAGCGGGCTATGGCGGAAGGTGGGAGGGGCTGAAGACCAAATATCAGAACGCGAGCGGAAGCGATAGCGCGACTTGATCTGTGGAGCGACAACAACTCGAGGGCTGCAACGCCTTTTATACTTCGCTGCAGCAGGCCTCGCGTCGGGATGAAGGTGGGGCCGAATCGATTCGCATATCGCACCCCTTGGCCTGTAAAACGCCATCAAGGTGGGGCCGCATCGATTCGCATATCGCATCGTTGGGCCCATAAAACGCCAGGGCCTATAAACGGTAAGGGGTATCGAAAATTGTCAGCCGTCGATCAACAATTTTCAACCGCGCAGATGAACGGAGCCACTGATATGCCAGTGGCCCCGAAATCTCCGTCAACTCCGGCGTGCGATGATGTGACAGTTCCCGAAAACAAGGGGCAGGCAATGTCATTTTCGCAGTTCTAATATGGACCGTCGACCGGCATGATCCGACGCACGAGGTCAGGCGCAAGAATCTATAAGGTGCGGTGATCCATTGTGCGCCGAGGAGGTTCGTTGCGCGCCGAGGCCAGTCGACGGTTTATTTCCCGCCGAGGCGCGGCGATTCGATGAGCGCCGAGGTCAACAACACCGGAAATCTATATGTTCCGGTGTCGCTGTCATTCGGACATTTTGCAAATGTCAACGACGTTGGATATCGATGCGCTTAGCCATGCACCATCGCTATCGATGCGCTTAGCTCATCGCCATCGCCAACGCTCGCCATGCACCATTGCCATCGATGCGCTTAGCTCATCGCCATCGCGACACAAAGCTATATCCCCCATCGCAGCCGTCGCACTCGCCTGACCATCGCAGCGCTGACAATCGCCATCGCTCTCATCGCAGCGCTGGCCATCATTGCGCCATCGCAACGCTGGTTCCATAGCTGCGCCATCGTTATCGCTGCCATCGCAACGCTGGTTCCATCGTTGCGCCATCGTTATCGCTGCCATCGCAACGCTGGTTCCATCGCTACGCCATCGTTGTCGCTGCCATCGCAACGCTGGTTCCATCGCTACGCCATCGTTATCGCCGTCATCGCAACGCTGGTTCCATCGCTGCGCCATCGTTATCGCTGCCATTGCTACGCTGGTTCCATCGCTGCACCATCTCTCAATCGGTGCGCCATCGCTATCGCTGCCATCGCTATCACTGTTCCATCGCTGCGCCATCGATCTCCATCGGTGCGCCATCGCTATCGCTATTCCATCGTTGCGCCATTGCTGCGCTATCGCTCTCCACCGGTGCGCCATCGGCATCGCTGTTCCATTGTTGCCATCGCTATAGCTATTGCTGCATTGTAACGCGTTCCATCGCTGCGCCATCGCTCTCCATCGGTGCGCCATCGCTCTCCACCGCAGCGCTGGCCATTGCTATCGAAACCCTGGCCAATGTTATCCCACCGCAGCGCTGCGCGATTTCTCTCTCCATCGCCGCACGATCTCCCTCCATCGCTGAGTGATCACTCTCCATCTCACTCCATCACTGAGCGATCTCTCTCGACCACCGGGCAACCTCCATCCCTGCGCCAGAGGCTCTCCATCACTCCTGCGCGATCCCGCCATCGCCATTGTATTATTGTTTCAGGCCGTCGTCGGTGCAGCCGCCCATCACTACGGATTCGCACGAAACAAGTGACAGGTATGCTTAACGAAGGTTTAACTCGATGGAACTGATGTTGTGCAATAACAAATCTTGGTGATCACAGTGCCTTCTCTCTCCATCGCTGCGGCATCGCTAACCATTGTTGCGCGTCCTCTCTCCATCTCTCTCCACCGGTGTGCGAACTCTACCGACCTTTCATCATTTATCTCCGTCGCTGCGCTATCTTTCCTAATCTATCTCCTTCGTCATCTATCTCCATCGTTGCGCTATCTTTCCTAATCTATGTTCTTCGTCATCTATCTCCATCGTCGCGCTATCTTTCCTAATCTATCTTCATCGTCATCTATCTGCTTCGGTGCACCATTTTTCTCCATCGGTGCACAATCTCTCTCTCTCGCTGCGGCACATCTCCCAATCAGTTCATGAATAAGTTCGTGATCTCTTTCCCTTCCTGCGCCATCTTAAAAAATAGTACGCCATCTTTCCTTATTTCTTTCTTGCACCGATCTGTGGCTCGTAGTACACGCAGAACAAGCCGGAAACAACGTGCACTTGTACCCGTAGTTTCGTAATGGAAATGCTCGTTTACAAGTGCGAATTTATTCGCTCTTGAACCAACCAGCCCCTTAATTTGTTACTGTCTAGTCCATAGGTCAGAATTAATTTGCACTTGTACCCCCAGTTTCGTAATGAAAATGTCCGTTTGCAAGTGCGAATTTATTCGCTCTTCAACCAACCATCCCCCTAAATTTGTTACTCTTTAGTCCATAAGTCCCAGTTTCATAGTGGAAATGCTCGTTTGCAAGTGCGAATTTATTCACTCTTCAACCAACCATCCCCCTAAATTTGTGACTCTTTAGTCCATAAGCCCCAATTTCATAATGGAAATGCTTGTTTGCAAGTGCGCATTTACTCGCTCTTCAACCAACCATCCCCCTAAATTTGTTCCTCTTTAGTCAATACGTCGCGTCTCTTCTCGGCCCAAAAGCATGAAGTCCTTTTGTATTTTCGTAATTGAAATGTTCCTTTGAAGTGTGAATTTATTGGCACTTCAAATTTCTTGCTGTTTAGTGGATAAGACCGAATTGACTCGCACTTGTGTTCGCTCCTGTTCCGACCATGAACTTAATTTCTTACTGTACGGTGAATAAGTCCGAATCAGCTCGCATTTGTACTCTCCCCTGAAAAAGTGCGAGTTTACTCGGACTTATCCAAACCACTTGCACACTGAACGAGTGGGAGAGGAGTCGGACTTGAGATACCACTTAAGCTTCACATCAGGGTCCGACAAAACGATATCGATTCAAATGTTGTTGTTCCACTGTTTTGTGATAAATATTAGAAATGCGAGTTTGCTCCCTCTTGTTCATTTCAGTGACCTCGTCATACGTTAACGTGATTTTCTTGTTGTACAGTTTCTGTGCGAATCGTCTCTTCAAATGACTGTCCAACCCGTCCACTGTGTCACGCCACCGCCACCGTCACGACAATACGGAGAAGACGATGTTCGAGAACGTAGTTCTTGTGACAGCAGCCCAGAAGCTCCCTCTGATCGGCATTGCGGTTTGAAAAGGGAGTTCTCGATGTTGACCCGGACGAATCATTCAGGCTCGTCTACGACGTCCGCTCGGCGTCGTTTTGTTCACTTTACCTACGCTCCCGACTGTCAGCGCGTATCTAGAGCGCTAATCCCCGGTAGTGAGGGTGTTCGGGATGTCAAGACGTTTCCCGGTGGATGGATGTTCGTGGACACAGATTTTTGTGGTGTGTCTGAAACGACTGGATCAGATCTAGTGCGGACAGCGGGTAGACTGTCTGAAAGCATTGAAGTTACCCAACCCCTAGCATTTGACTACAGTCGGTCGTTGGTGGATACAGACTTCTGCGGTACGCCCGATAGAAACGGATCTGATCGGGAACAGTGCGGTGCATTTGGTAGAAACGGGTTTGATAGGAAACAGGCAACGGCACGCGCGTGTGAAAGTGCCGAGATAGGTAAGAGAATTGCATGTGAAGCCGAAAAAATTGGCTCTCCGTCGATGACAACCACGAGTGCAATGGAAAATTGGTAGACTGGTTTTGTAGACACAGATTTCTACAGTTCATCGGAATCCTCCCAATCCGATTTGTCAAGAACCGCTCCCATGAACAGATCAAAATTCCTAGGCGCAGCGCATAGGTCCCAGACCAGAAGTCACCCTGGAACTCCCGAAGCAGTCCTTCAGGTTTTGTCTCATCCCCTACCTGGAGAAAGGAGAAAATATAATCGAAAATTTAGGCCGGTTAGAAGGTCAGAACATTCGAAGAGGGTCAAAAGTCGATTGAACGAAACTAACATTGCGCTCATCCCGACGCACAAATGTTGTAAGAACCACGTGTCTTCGGGTCTTGACCATTGACGATATCAAACCGGTGCGCGAAGCTTATTACGAAATGTCCCTCGAAAGGAGGATCGAGTGGTGGATGCAAACCCTCGACAATTTCACTATCCTCGACGGTGGTCTGGAAAGAGTTCAACCAGTGCAGTGCAAACGCCGTGTGTGCATCGCCGGTTGGTGCAAAATAATAGGGATGTGTCAAAACACATTTCGTCATTATAGCAAGTGCAAGTCCGACGGGGTAGTCCATGGACGGCATGGTCGATGGGGATTGTTGAACCCGAGACTGGAGTATGTGAGCATGCTGGCTCGTGTGACGAGGTTCGTGGAAGAACATGGAGATGCTATGCCTAACGAAATAGTTGTGAGGGGGACCTCACAGAGACCTAAAGTTAGGCTCCCTGCTTATTTCACGAAGCTCCTTGTATACGAGTCCATCAAGGCGGACTTGGAAGCGGCGGGTCATACCGTCGTTTCGGAGCAAGTCTTCTACTCCATATGAAGGAAATACTTGTGGCATGCCGACCTTGCCAAGTCTAACTCGTTCACAAAGTGTGACGAGTGCGTCCGCCTTAGAAAGGCCAGAGATAAACGTCTTTCTCCTTCGTGACCGTAGGGATTTCGATGAAAAGCACTGCAAACACCAACTAGATCAGGTCGCTCACCGTGCGGATTACGCTGACTGGAAACTTCGTTCCATTTTGAACCCCGCGGAATACCTCTGTCTTATAGTGGATGGAATGGATCAGAAAAAGACAACCATTCCTCACATCGGCATGTATAATTACTCCAAAGATCATCGACACGACATGATGATGAAAACGAACCTAACCGTGGTCGTAGCTCATGGCAGGAAACCGTCCATTTATATTTACACGTATTTGCCTTTCTATGCGAACAGTTCCGATGACACCATGACGTGCGTTATGCGGACTCTATGTGAGTTGTAGGCGTCGGGACAGAAATTGTCACGCCACCTCCGAACCCAGGCGGACAATTGCTGGAGGGAAAACAAAAACCAATACCTTATGTGTTTGGCCTCTCTTCTGGTGAAATTCGGGATTTTCGAAGATGTCGAAATGGGGTTCATGCTCGTTGGTCACACGCATACCGACATAGACGCGACTTTTAGTGTTTTCTCGAAAAAATTGAAGGACAACGATGCTTACACCATGAAGCACTTGTTCTCGCTTATCGAGTCATCGCACAAGATACCGTCGAAGTGCATTGAGCTCGATCACATTGCCGATTGACGCCGGGTAGTGGATCGACTTGTCGACAGAAGTATCATCGGCGTGTCGAAACCGCATCTCTTCAAATTCTTCATGCGTGACGACAGTCCCGTCATGGTGTACAAGAAGTACTGTACCGATGTGGAATGGATGTCGGAAGGCAGACCGGTTCACTGGTTCCCGGTTGTCGATGGGCAGTATGCAAGCCCTAGCTCCCCTCCACAACCATGTGTTATTCCCCGTATCGTTAAAGAGGATTTTCGGATGGCTCGTTACAGTGTCCAAAAATTTCTGGACGTCCTCGAACAGCATAAACACATGTGGCTAACATATAGGAAGGAGGAGGTCGATAAGCGGGAGGATGCTTTGTCGTACTGGGAAGCCATCTTCGTCGAGGCGGACGATATGATCCAAAAGCAAAAGAAGAAGGAGCCGGGAGAGGGTGAGGAAGAGGATGCCATCGGGGCGGACGAGCCCGAGATCTACCCTCACACCTTCTGGCCACAATCAGTCGAAACTGTGGAGGAAGTTCAAGAAGCCGGCTCTCCTTCACCAGATGCTTCGCTTATATATGTGGAACCGAGGGCGGGCCGTCCAAAAGTGGACTTTGACCCTCGGCACCATATAAACAAAGGTGATTTTCTGATTGTTAGGCCGTCTGATGAGGAACTGTCTCAAGGTGTACCGTTCTAGGTCGGCAGAGCACAGTCTGAGGTTGTGGACGACCGTTCCTCACCTCATTTCGGTTGCTTATGTATACAGTGGTGGGTGCCTACAGGTCACTCGTCCGATCTTCGTGAAAGGTACTCCGGCGCTTGGACGAAGAGGTGGAAACTTTCCACTTCGAACGAGGAACAATGGCAACGCGCCGAAACCGTGGCTTATTCTTGGATAAGACCTTTTCGCAAAGGGACGGATGAGAGCAAATTCGTGACAGGCCTTACAATACCCACATCCGTTTGCGAAAAAGCGCTTGTGGCCTTGGGGGACGGGTGTCTTTCCGGTCTGTCCGACGTGCCCGTTTAGATAAATGCGAACTGATGCGGATTTGGTAGCTACGAACTCCGCTAAGATAATGACGAGACGTGAACTGTGAATCAATTCCGGTTTCTTGTCCTCCACGATGCATGACGACGACACAACATCGTGCGACGTTGTA